ATCGTATTGCGGTGTATTCTTGAGTATCGAAAATAATCGAATGGTTGGGTCAGGAAATTGATACTGAATCAATTCGCCATGAAGGCTGTGATTTACACCCCTATTTCTCACTGCAATAGATATTCTCAGGAATTATAATCTCTCCTTACCTGTAAAGACCCTGCATCATTCCCCCTGCTGCTGGCCCATCTCTTCCCTGACTTTGCTTTTTCTAGGAAGAGAAGCAGCATAACATGCTGTGGCATTTAACTTCAAAGTCACTTTTAAACCAATTATATTTTGTATCTCTTCTCTGACTCTCCTCTCTGTTGTGATCAGAGATTTATTTTTCCTTCTTGCTTCTGTTTGCCAGCATGCTGATGCTCACATTCAGCTCTGCTCGGCGTCACGTCTCGTGTTGAACTTCTGTGTGAGCATGTGTATGGTCATGATGCGTTCAATGACAGCTCTGAAAAAACGTTACTGCACACCAATACCAGGTTTAACCGTTACGGCATACTTGTCACAGTGAGGACTGCCCATATATGGGCGTTTTCGCCGCTGTCCCATCTTTGGACCCGACGAGTTATGCTACGTTCAGAAACGCTTCTCCTGCTGCTCAACACGCGCTGCAGGACCTTTTGCTGCGCCTTGAGGTGCGTCAACCATTGACTTTGCATGTAAACCGGCTGCTTCTGCTGCTTCTGCTGATTGCAGTGTGAACGTAGCATTAGAACTAGTCAGACCCAATCATCTCATCTTAAGCTGAGCAGCTTTGCACCATTTAGTTCAGAACGGGTCTGAACCCGAACAGCAGCTCCTCTCTCCCTTCATCTCTTTTGGAAAATCAAGTTTCTAATATTAATCCTTCTTAAAATTGTTTTTTTATTTTGAGATGAATGTGTTAATTTTCACTTTTTCTTCAGTTTTTAATCATGCAGAGTATATGACCCCAGGATGCAATCGTCCTGCTGGAGGAAACATATTTTGATAAAATGTAAGAAAAACCAAATCATTTACTTATTTATTTTTATAATCTGAGTGACGTTTGTTTCCTTTCCTGTCACAGATTGGTAGGAGGCCCCCCATGACGCTCAAACATAAATGTATTTTTTATGGGCAGATTGAACTCCAAGACCTTCAGTGAAGGACCCAGGAAGGATGAACACATCTGTCTCCTCGCAGCGCGTCTCCGCTGCTCCGACACGTCTGACATACCGACGGCCTGATTTGCTAACCCTCAGTATCTGCTCAGAAATATAATAACGCTTCTTTCATTAAAGGGAGTAATTTCTAGCATAGAGGACGCCACTACAAATGTCCTCTGATTACTAAATGGAACAGAGCAATGATCTATGGAGCCATTAGGGGAACGGGCTGGAACTAATTTCAATCCTAGAATGGACCGATGGGAACACACACACACACACACAGAGACAAACAGAGGGATCAAAGGATGGAGAGGGAGGAACAAACAGCAGCAGCATGTCGGCCATTTTCTGCTCTGACACATTCTAAACTGATGTTCTGTCAGCAGACGGTCAGGGACGGGTCCGTTTTAACAGGACAGGTTGGTAAATCTGCGAGTTAGTCGTTACTGATGGGTTTCCTTCATGGCGTCAGAACAGGAAACATCAAACTGGGTTCTGCTGATTGTTCTACGGCAGAGCGGCACTACGCCGCGGCGTCCCAGTTCAGTCATCAATCCCAACACAGAGAGCTGGAGATGAAGAGCAGACAGCGGAGCGACCAGAACCAGATACCGTCCCAGAAATGATCGGGATCGCGCATATTTCTCACGTTTAGGAACCATTTTCAAAGAATAATAATGGAATTACAAAAAAAACCCTGTAAAGATCAATTAACTTTTATTTCTAAAATTCGGAACTGGAAGAAATTTTGAATATTCAAAACGATTAACAAATTAAAAAGAACCTACATAAAATAAATAGAAAATGTATTTGAATTAGAGCTGGGATTTTAATTATATTGATTTTAATGCAAGAAAAAAATAGAACTTTTTAATACATATTAAAATTAAAGTATTTATATCTTTATATCTTCTGTTATAATTAATATCTTTGGTTTCTTGTACATCTGTACATCTGATGAACAAGAAGCAGAGCAGCATTAACATGTAAACAAATCAACTTACAATTGATTCATGTCTTATTAGATGAAAATACTTTCATTTGATTAATGGATGACTTTAGCTAAATTTCGTTGGAACTTTCCCGCCACCAATAGAGGGTGCTGTTTATTCCGGTCAGGATTATTTATGCGGTTTAATGGCAACGAGGCAGAACTTAACCCCTTAAAAACCCCTTAAGTTATCACTGAAATATCATCCAAAGTAAAGCAACTTCAACCCCTGTGCTTTATGTGAGCATTTTACTCCACTATTATAACATGATAGAAACAGACATGTTAGAACTTAGCACAGCAGATGGAGAGGAATTCTGTCTGTATCGCACTTCATGAAACCGATTAGCCTTCCTCTGAGAGCAAACAGCCACTTTAAAGGGGCGGCTAACAGCTAACGGTGACGGCTGATGGTGGATGACGCTAAAAACAGAGAGCTATGTCACAGTTCCCATCCACTTGATTGAAACCATTAGCGTAACTATCGGTAAGCAGAGACTGGAGTTGCTTAGGGCCCATCTTTAACCAATCTGATTTTTTAATTACCTAAATAATGGATTTAAAACAATTCATATTTGTGTTGCTGTGCGAATTTGAGTTCTTAATAATTCAGGAGCAAAATGGCGTTTTGAATTAAAAAGATTTCTTTGTCAATACGTTTTTGATTGAAATTAAATTAGCGATTAACTAATTACAGACTCAGTCATTAACTGGATTAGAAATCTCTACCCAGTCTCCTCGCCAATTAGAATAAAGACAAAACTAATTCAAAAACAATAGAATGCAAATGAAAATCCTAAACAATCCAAACTATGAATACAATGGGAATATGCAGTCTGGAAAATTGCTCTTCACGTAATTACAATCAGCCTTGGAGAGCAAAAAACAGGCAAAACCGACGGCTTTCTAAACGAGAGCAACAGAAAGACTTGATTAGAATGAGAGCAGAGACGCCAACAGGTCTGTTTACCCAGGAAAATGGCGGGGGGGTCAGAGGTGAAAGGGCAGCATCTCAGACACACCTCAGAACAGGAAAGGGGTGCATGAATAATTACAGTAAGGAAGAATTCAGACCAAATCATTTAAATAAACAGACAGGCAGAGCTCAGTGGTTTCTAGGTAAACCAGGACATGAAACAGACACGCTCTCCAAACCACTGAAACTTTCCCTTTGTGGGTAGGGCTGTGGGGAAAAAACTATAATTTGACGATATATAGTGATTTTCGTATCTCTGATATAATATAAATCTTTCTTTTTAGAGAAAAAAAAAGACAGGTGGTTTGAAAGGGGTGTGAAGGAAGCAATTTATGTTAAAAGAGAAAAACCATCCTTAAACTGAGGGGTTTCAGCTCTCAAAAACCTACAACACAGCGATACAGTTGATTCCTTTCAAATACCATCTCAACCCCCATCGCTATGAAGGTTACAAAATATCTCACCAGGTCAGCCAGGCCAGCAATGACCCTTAACGACTGCTTTTTTCAGAGGAATGGACCAGTATCGGGTATTGCAGGCTAATAACCACCTATACGACTATGGAAGCAAATCATTACCATATTTAAAATGAAAAAGCATTTCCGGAAATGCTTTTTCATTTTAAATATGGTAACGATTTGCTTCCATATACGACTCCCATTATTAGGGGCTGGGTCTGGTTTTCCAGTTTCAATGCTTTCTAAGGCATCATAAGGCTTTTGTTGAGCTACTCTATAAACGCCTGTAACTCCAGACATTTTCAATTGAGAAAGCTTCCTGGATGGGAAAAGAAACTTCTTCAAACTTGGAAAACAAAGTCCAGCGGATTGTTTTTAAACTTTAACTTTTTGCAATGAGGGAAAATGTGCTGCCTCTGCAGCACCACTCTGGTAGACAGTGCTATGGAGCCACTTTGCTGTGCGCTGCAGCTCCATTTCTGTAGTTGAGTTAAACTCAAAACATGGATTCTGGTGAACATAAATAGCACCTACTTTTTTTATCTATACATTCCATTTTAACAGCTGGGTAAACCATCTCAATAAATAGTGATATTGCAATATTGTGATGATATTGTATACTCACCCCTGATTGTGGGGTATAAGTGTTTTTAATACTTTAAACTTGTTGAACCTTTGGGTTAAAATTAAGATTATAATATTATGATACCATGAAATTCTTGCTTCAGGTTTTATAGCGTTAGAATGATATGTTCTAATCTAGAGTAAATTACAGTGTGATGAGCAGCATAGAGTAGGAAAGTAAATAAATGAAGGATAAATGTCTGCATGAACAGGATTTAATTTCATTTTCAATGTTTTTAGATGAATATTTATTTTCATATTTTCAAACACAAGTTTCCTTGAACTGTTGCTGCTAGCTTAGCATGTTAACTTTGATCTGAATGATCCAAGCCTGGTGATGAAGCTGCAGAGACACAGGTGGCTTTTATTAAGAGGCTACAGATGCCATGCAGAAGGTGTGACATTGTTAAACACCTGTTCACTCTTCAACATGAGACGCAGACCTTGAGTTTGAGTAAAGTCTCCAGACCTTAAGTTAAAGGACAAAGTTAAGTATGAATCCTCAGAATCTCAAACCTGACATCTGAGGCAGAAGGAGGCTCACAAACATCCCATTCCTGGCTGAACGGATTCAACCCTGAACCTGCAGAAGGCCAGGTTCTGGTCTGTTCTTGCTCTTTGCCAACCAGGCGGGCTAACCTCAGGGGCCATTTTGGAGCCAACATTAAAGTCTGTACGGCGCCGTTCTCTCAGGTCTCCTATTATTTCCTACAGCTACAGACATCAGGACTCCTCCCTGTGCTTAAATACAGAAGCTTTACTGGATCATTGCTGTTGGTTCTGGTTGGCGGGTTTGGTTCTGGGAACTGAAGCGGCCTTACCTTCGATCGGTGACGTTTTGAGCCTGCGACAGACAGTCTGCACATCTCCGTAACAGTCTTGGATCTTGTTGACGGCCTCTGCGCTCCTGAGCTCCATGAGGTCCTTCAGTTCATCCATGGAGATCCCAAAGTCTCCGTCATGGCCGCCCTCAGCCACTGAGTTCCCCGGCGGGTGGTCGGCCGTGTTATTGGCCATGTTGGCGCCTTCTTGTGCAGCTGAGTTCCTGTGATTGTCTCTGCTGAGGGGCTCTGGGTACGGACGCTGCCGTCAGGTGAAGGGACTTCGTTGCTGTGTCTTCCCCCCCCACTCGAGGCGGCTGGTGGAAACTCTTTGAGTTTAGATTCAGGCGTGGATTAGCATGCTCCCTCTGGTCACTATGGAAACAAGGAAGTAAACATGTTGCTCTGGCTTCACACTGCAGAGTAAACAGAAACAGGAACATTATTAGAAACCAGATGCAGACTGGAAACCCAAACAGTAACGGAAGCCTGGAAAAGACAAAAAAACGTAACAGGACTTAGAGAAATAGATTATAAGCGGTGGGAGGAGGTCTTTGGAGCACGATCTGATATAATCAGATCCCCTATGGAGTGAATTTGGTTTCATTATTGTTGCGATGAACATGTTTAGTAAATGGGAATTTGGAAACGATGTCATCCAGAAATAATCTCCCAGTCGTCTGCAGTTGGACTGAACTATATTTCTGTTTCCAGTGTCTGAGAGATAAATGTGAAGAGGTCAAACATCTAAGTAGTGGAACGATGTCTTATGGCGATGTCGAAAATAAGAGACGTCTAGCTTTGGTTTTGTACCGTACTCCTGCAAGATAGTGTTGATTTAAAGATCTTACAGACATTATTTCCCTTTTTCAGATCAACTTTACATAATGCATTCTTTTCAAATTGTTTTTACAGATCCCAGCATCCAGAGGAACCAATAGAATTCCTCACTTCAAAGGAAAGCCCGCCTCAGAAATGAAGAAAATGTTAAGCGCAGATAAAAACATTGCAATTGGTAAAACCTTCTTAGAAAGAGAAATTGCACTGCAAAAACGATCTAGAAATAAGTAAAAATTTCTTAAATTAAGTGTATTTACCCTTAATTTCAGTAGGTAAACAGGACAATCTGCCAATGAAATTAGTATTTTTGCTCTTAAAATAAGATAATTAAATAATATGCACTTGAAATAAGACAATGAAATAGTTTTTTTCTTATTTTAAATGTAAATTGTCTTGTTCCATTGGCAAAGAGTCTCATTTACCTCCTCAATTCAAGACAAAATGTACTTGTTTTAAGAAAAAATTACTTAAGATTTACATTTTTTGCAGTGTGGAAAAAAAAATAAGAAAAAAAAATCATCTATATTAAATACATTTTTTTTCGAAGGGAGTTTCTGGATGGCATTTTTTCCCCAAATGTTAATTTAACAAAACATTTTCCTTTCTTGCTACAGAATTAGAACAAAATTCACCCCATAGTTCTCTGGAAGTTCCAACTCTACCCATCTATGACCGTAAACGTTTGTTTTTCCAGGTTTTTTCTTCTTTTTATTGTCATTACACTGTACAGTGTAACTAAATTCACTCTGCATTTAACCAGTGGGCTGCCATTGTGTGGCGCCCGGGGAGCACTGTGGGCTCAGAGAACCAGAGTGGCTGCCTGTGGGAGTGGGTTTTGAACTCACAACCTCGGGGTTCCCAGCTCTATACTCTAACCAGTAGGCCACCACTACCCCCTTGGTGTTTACACAACATAGAAACTACTGAAACACTTGTTGCCATAGCAACACCATCAACAGTAAACGACAACTTTCCATGACCGGTCCAGCAGTGGAACAGCAGAAGCTCCATTTCCTAATAGTTTCACTTCTTCCTAATGTTTCCATCAAATTATTAATTTTTTAAATCGGACGCATTGATGTTTTTAAACCTTTTGAAAAACAATCTTATTCATGTATTTAAATAAACACTTTACACAACATGCGAGATATCTAAGTCAGTCAGATTCATGCATGGATGGATGCAGGGAGAAGCATGGAGGTGGTTCCTCATAAGGACAGTGACTGTGGTCTCTGCCGATGCTCAGAGGATTGCAGAACAACAAGTCTCTTTAACCACACCAACACGCCCATCTTAGTCCAAAGGTAGCTTCTATCTTTGGACCTGAACGCCACGCCCATTCATGTCTTATTAGTCAGCAGGGCTGCGGTTCCTGCTGCTGCTTTCAGACCTGATTGATCACCAAGCACTGCCCTCACAGAAGGCAACCCTCGAATTATCAACCGGCTTATCGAGACAATCAGGAACTACCTTAAACAATAATAAGAGGCGTGTGTGATGGAGACGAGTGCATTAAATAACAGACAGAGAGGAGCTTACTTTACAGTCCATATCAGGTTACAACCTCTTTAAAAGCAAAACAAAACATTAAGAATCAGAAAATGAACTTCATGATTGTTGGGAAGCAGCCTCTGAACTGTGGATGTTAAGGCGGGACAATAACTTAATATCAGTATGTATCACAATATAATTTAGTTCAACAACAGTGATATGATATTTAAACACATTTCCGGTATTCGTTGGAATCGGCGTTCAGCGTTTATCACCGTCTGACACTCGTGGCGATTCAAGATGAACAGAAAGAGCTGCTACATGAGTGATGGCGTCCACCGCAGACGGGGAGCCTCTGATCTGTTGCTTTAATACGGTTGGTTTTAGATTGGTGACGCTTTGATATTTTGATGATAACATGATCAAACCTCCTGTTCTGGATGACCTGCACAGGGCAGAAGTTATCCCCGCAGACGTGTCGGATCGTGTTTCATGAATGAGAAAAAGATTGTTGTGTGCAGACCATGTAGAAAGCATGATGGTCGTAAAGCAGCAGCTGGTCGACCAGCTTAAAGTTACAATTAGGAAAAATGCTGAGGGCAGCCTTTAAGTAAGGACAGCAATCCTGGGATATTATGGGATGTAGGGATGGGACGATTTATGAAAACCATCAGAATCGTTCGGTTCGACTGTGTTTCGTTCGGTTCATGCGCTGCTCCTTTTTCTCATAGGGGAAGCGATTACACTCCAGAGCAGAAGGTGGCAGTGCTGCGACCAAAGCCAACCGCCAGTAGTTAACAAGAAGAAGCGAAGCAGCGTAGCCGGGTGTAGCAGGAAAAAAATCAGTCGTTGTGGAGAATTGTGTCGGACTGGCGAGTGGGAAAGAACAGGAGTTGGAAGACGCGCCAGCAGCACTTTATAGGTCTGCTGTATGGGACCACTTTGCATTTAGAGTGACCTACGATGACGGCGGAAAGAAAGTTGTGGATAAAAGTGCAACAGTGTGCAAGCATTGTGCAACGCGTTTTGTTTATGCTAACAGCAACATGTCATGCTAACCCCGAAATCCCTCATACTCCGTCAGCAACCCCCGCTGCGCTCCAGACCGGCTGCTCAAAGCAAAGCCTACAGCCCCCGCTGTGGCTTCATCTGCTCCCCTCTGATTCCCTTGGAGATGGTCGAGAGCATACGGAAATGATCCAGGGTTTCCGCGGATCATTTAAAATAATTACAATCCATTATTTTTTGGGGGATTTTTTCATTAATTTCATAAATTTTTATGGGATTTCGGTGTAACAATCAACATGTATCGAATCGAACCGAAAACCGTGACCGGAAACCGTGAATCGAACCGAACCGTGGATTTTGTGAACCGTTCCACCCCTAATGGGATGTGTGAATTGCTGGATTTTGTTTTGAGTGAGTTGATCCTTGCAGAGATTAAGTTTTCGTTCATATGTCACTAGTGCTGTTAACACTCGCTGTGCCAAAAAATAAGAAATATTTAAATTATAATAATAGTGCTGGGATCTGTTTTGATGCATTAAAGATGAGAGGTGCAAAATAAGCAAGGATTTGATAAAAGGAAAAGTCCGGTCAGAAAGGAATAATCAATGGATCATCATTTATATCTAAAACTAATACGTTTGCGGTGATTTTATGAATTTAGTGTTAATCAGTAAAAAAATAAAAACAATTTTTGTTGCGATGACTGAGTCTGGGAGCGGCCATTTTTGCCCAAATATAGTAACCCCTCCCTCCTGCCATCTTCCAGCAGCGATGTCACAGTGTGGTAAGCCTAGCGCCATTCTCCCCGCTTTAAAAACACGTAATATGTAGCCAACATTTGGAAGAAGAATGTTTTCAAGATGACTTGGATAATAGCGCGTTGTGACAAACACCAGATACAGCACTGGGACTTGATCAACAGCCGATACCGCACCGTGACGTCACAAAAAACATTTATTGAGCACTATGGAATAATTTCATATTTAAAGTACTTTCCGAAGTTTGAATTCTGAATATGACCGGACTTTTTCTTTAAAAGAAGAAAAAGTAAATCAGGAATAGAGCAGGGGAATATGACAGAAAAAAAAAGAGAAAAAGGATGATTTAAAAATAAATTAATAACACTTTGTAATCTGCTACAGTACATGTCAAAGCTTTATCAAAAGTTAAATTTGTAAGAATAAACTGGGTACCTTTAGTTTGTTTTCAGAACTAGTTACTAGCTTGTTACTTGTAGTTGTTTTCCCAATTCATAACAATGATTAAGCCTTTGCTGTGTTTGTCTTCTTAAACATTTGACAGTCGATCATAAATAAATAAAGGAGGCAAGGAGATAGAAGCTGAAAGAGGCAAGAAATATGACGATAATATGCTGGTTAAATCTACAATTTTATATATTAAGCTTGTAGCTCCAAAAAAGATGCAAAGCTTTTTATATGATTTCTAAAATGTCATATTGTAGGAATTTTATTAACTTTGTATAACAATGATTATACGTTGGTACAGGACTTTTGAGCTTTCTTGGTGAATAGTAAATGTCTAGCTGTTTAAGAAACTGCGATCTTCTTGCTTCAAATAAAGAACAGGGTTAGCAAAGTGAAAAATCACTGCAGACAGACGGGTTCCTGGGATGTGATCCAAACATGCTGCATCCTGATTTATGGTTTTATTCTGATCTCAGTGAAGCAACAGAAAAGAGCAGAGACTGTGACCCTGGAGAGAGTTTAGCTTCAATCTCTCAAATCAAAGCAGCAACTCTATAGAGACACTCATAGCAGATTATTAATATGTTACTTGAAAACAACATCAAAACCATTAGTTGGGCCTGGAAAGGTTCTGTGAAGTGCTGAGCAGGCAGAAAGGCCCCACAAGATCCCATGAATATATCCCCATCACAATATAATAATGACCTGCAGACGTGTGAGAGAAAGAGAAAATGGGGATCCCTATACTGGCTGCCAACGTAAAATGCCAACTCCTTATTCAAGAAGTCAGGGTGGGCTGCTCCTTTTTTTTCCCCCTCATAATTTTTGCTGTAGACTTCATCTGTATCTGATGTGACGAGACTAAACGCTTG